ACTAGGGCTTCCATCCCGGGAGTCTCGGTCTCGAAAATCCCGAGAGTCTCGACGATTTTTTCATGTTTTCGAGACTCGAGACCTCAGCTCCAATTTTCGAGAATTTCGAGACTTTCGAGAGTTAGTTAAATAATCTACAAAAAATACCAATCTACTAAAAAAATCTACTAAACTACCATTATTATTTTAATTAAGTGACGTGGCAACACTCATGACTTGCAAACGACTTTGCATGTAGAAAAAGCTCTCTTTGAGAACGGTGGTGACAGAGGTAAGCATTTAAATCAGTGCTATAATTATTTACTATCCATCCCCCCTACTAGTGTCGAAGCAGAGAGAGCTTTTTCAAATGCAGGGTACTTTTGTAACAAAATCAGATCCTCTTTATCTGAAAAGTCATTGAATGCCCTTTGCTTCCTGCGTGCATATTTTAAAAATGAAAAATGTTAATTTTATATAATACATTTGTTTTTTTTTTGTAATAGTTGATTAATAAAGTGCATAATTGAAACATATTGTCTTATTTGCCTAATTGTATAAACCTTGAGTATGAAACTTATTTAGTCTCGAAAGTCTCGTTTTTCCCGGGACTCCCGGGACCGGACCCAGTCTCGATTTTTTTTTCCCGGGACTCGAAAATGTATCGAGACTGGAAGCCTTATTAAATACAGAAAAGTAACAAACAAAAATCATGAATCATTTGTCACAGATAGTAGAATGTTAAATTTATTTTACTGCAATTTATATGGTCTGATAGAAACTTTATGGTACCTATAACTCTTTAGATATGGAACCCTAGAAATAGTATTTGAAATACATTCAGCAAGGAGTGCTAAACATTAATTTGTATGATCTCCACTCATAATATGAATTAGTATTGTTTATAAGCTGCCACTTCAAAAATAGTATTACTTTTCTATTCATTCATTTCTTAATATCACTTGTAAGGTTAAAACATATCAAAAGGACTTACCTCTCAGCAGCAGATCCGTGCCTTTCACCTTTGACATCCTTCTTGAACGCATATGACACAGATATAGGTCTGTTACATAGGTACTGGTTATTCATAGCTTCTATAGCTGCATCTGATGCTTCGAACGACGCAAAGTTTATGAACGCAAAGGCTTTTGAATTACCAGTCTCAGGATCTCTCATAACCTGTAAAAGATGAATATTGATTAAATCTTATACTACTATATTAAGCTGAAGAGTTTGTCTGTTTGATTGTTTGTTTGTTTGAAGGCACTAATCACAGGAACTACCAGTCCGATTTCGATAATTATTTTTGTGTTGGATAGTCCATTTATAGAGGAAGGTTATAGGCTACAAAACATCACGCTACGGTCAATTGGAGCCGAGCAGAGCGAGTGCAACCGCGCGAAAGTACCTAGTAACATTTAAAGATGTTCATTTGTCTCTGAATAAGAAGCCGTTGTGTATAAGTTGAAATGATTAAATAGATACTGGTGATTTTCGAGAAGTATTAAGGCCTTACAGCTCAAGTATACCATGCAAGTTATTGTAACAATTTACTTAGAATTTACAGCAGTAATACTGAGATTGCTATTTCTATGGAGCTAGTCTAGACTCTGTTGAATGTTACAGATTATAAATAATCCAAGATCTTATGATATAAAGGTGTATAAGGTAGCTGGTAATCCAAGTTTTCATGATAAGGCCAATTTTACTATTCAATCTTCAACTTTATTGTATTTGACATAAAGTAAAATTTTACTTTATTCTCCATTCTTTTTAATTCTCCTTTATTGTTTTTAGGAGGTTTTGTCCATATGGATATGTCAACCCCATCATACCTCATCTAATTCAATATAATCTATGTAAATAAATGGGAATCATTAACAAGGTCTAGATATCAGAAAAGTTATGTCACCCTCACCAGTTCAGACAATCCTTTTGCAATCTTCGTTTTATGATTTGCTAAAATGTTTTGAACTAGCCCAACATCTAATTTATTCAACTTATAGTATCTAATTAATGATTCCGTTTCATTATTGTTCCCGGCACATTCCATTAGCAAATTCTGAACATCTTCTACTTTGTTGCATAATTTGCAATTAGGTGATGCAACCTTGGCCATTGTACATGTATTAGGAAACTTGAAGAGATCTATAGATTATAAATACAGTACAAAAACATACCTTAGGTGTCTGTAATATAACTCCAAATGCAGAGAATGTATCATATAGAAGCTTCTCATCAACTTCTGGATCCAAGTTTCCTATGAACACATTGGCACCCACATCCAAGTTCTTCTGATGAGCTGATGCTTTATTCACCCTCACCGGTTTACCATATAGCTTTATCATATTCATCACCTGGAATTTTAATGAGAAATATTGAATTGATTTGGTTAATACCAATTCAATGACATTACAGACTAATGTCTGCAATAGTAATGTTAGTGGATATAAGTTATCTACTATTTAACCCATAAATCCCTAAGCGGTTGACGTTTCAAAAGTACCAAACTATGGTTTAATTGAAATAAATATTTGACTTTGACTTTGACTTCACCGGTGACCACTTTCCACTAATATTACATTACATTATAGACCTTATTTCTAATGTTTAGAGAATATTTTTGTATGACCAAATTTAGGGGATGGATATCAACAGGTTAAGTGAGGCAGTTGGGGGAGCTAAATCCATTATAGACCTTATTTCTGAAGTTCAGAGACTACTTTTAAATAAACAAATTTTGGGGATATTCGGTACAATATATCAACATATTAAGGGAATATGCCCAGACTTGGGAGATGGTAAGTAATCACAGGGGTACTAGCTATCAAGATGAACTAGGTAGTTGAGTGCTATTGGTCAGGCCATATCAGCAGTGGATAGATGCAGGCGGATGAATAGTACTCATGAGCTTGCATTTGTGGGGATTGTGAAGTGTATTAGAAACTGCGAAACACTGTACTTGTGACCACTTTGCTAAGGCCTATAAATGATATAGTTTTCCTGGAACATGGTCATGGAGTTGTCAGTTTTATCTTTAAATTATCTTCAAAGTTATTATTATTATCATTACCTTTATGGCATAATCTGCATCCTCCTCACCCATGAACTCAACAAATCCATATCCTTGATGAGTTTGTGTCACTCTGTCTTTTGGCATGTGGACATTCACTGTAAAATGAGAGAAAACTTTTAAACATCATGATTTTGCAAATAGAACTGTAGAAATTTATGGATAAGAATGCTGGATTTAAAGGCATAAATAAAATCATACTAAGCTAACTGCTTGATGTTGAAATGTATACAACACTCTTATCAATGACCTAAAATCAATTTTCAAATTAGAATTGCCGTCTTAGCCACTGAACATTGCTAACAATACTAGTACTTAATGAGAGTGATCAAAACGGCGGCCCAATTCATATAATAAAACATATACAAATAAAATACAATTATTAGATGTTATAAGGTATATGTATACATACCCACGGGTCCGGCTTGTACGAATAGTTCCCATAGCAAACTTTCAGTAACTCTGTCGTCAAGACCGCCAACGTATATTGTGGCATCTGAAAAATAACAATAAAATTGCGTACAGAATTATGATAAAGTGATTGCATTCTGTGCCGAAACTAATCACTAGTTGTAGTTTTAATTAAAAGCAAGTAACATTTTAATTACAGCCCGATAGCCGCGTAAAAGAGGTCGTAGACGCGATACTTAACCTCAAAAACTTTTAGTTAGTATTATTTGGAAGTTAATATTTGGAAATGAAATTATTTATTAAATTGACAATATCACTGTGAAATAAATTAGTAGTTACGCCGGTTTGGACAAGAAATTGTATAAATAAATACCTTGATTACGTTCGGCGATTGGTCCCGCTGCCATTTTTATTGACAAGCGTCACGTCAATCGTGACAGCAGCAACGAAAATGACATTCATCAGATCACAGGCACAGGTTATAAAAAAAGCGCTGCTGATATTCTCACCGTCGGATAGATTTCGTCTATGGTTTGAATATTCTGCATTTTTGTGGCACTTATTCTTTTAATAGTGGGAAATTATGGATGACTCTGCTCAGCACCTATTAGTCGTAGTGTGATGTTTTATATATAGCCTATAGCCATCCTCGATAAATGCGCTATTCGACACAAAAATAATTATTCAAATCAGACTTGTAGTTACGGAGATTAGCGTGTTCAATCAAACAAAAATACAAACTCGTCCGCTAAAAATAAAAGTATAAGATTTGTCCCATTGTTTGTATTGTATTTTTAACTTGTAATGGCTATTTATGACTTCAACTTCCCCAAAGAGTGCATTTGATTAACATTAGTTGCCTCTCCGTGATAAACAACTATCTGTAGCTATTTTAATCACGTTCTGATTTGCAAATACTTAAAAGATCTTGCAATCAATTGTCAAAATAAATATAAACATAGCGATTTGAAATTAATAATACAGTAGCAAATTGCAGACTAACAAACTTGTTTACGTTTACCAGTTTAGTATATTCTATGGTTAATGGTTATGTTTGTGTTGTTTTTGTCAGCTGTCAGAAAAAATAACATTCATTTCTATTCATTCGAGCGCGCATCTTTGTTATTACCGTTCGTGTTAATTTTTTCCATAAAATTCTGAAGTTGATTAAGAATAATTCAAAATGCAAAACTCAGATATAATATCCTCTTTGTTTTGGTTTAAAAATGAGAGTGAAGAAGAAGATAAAGATTATTTGATACTGGAACAGTTTGTGCACAATGTTGAAGATTTTAGTTCCCAGTATGGCAGTGAAATCAGTGTTTCATATACTGCATTTAATCTTCGTGGACCGCCCTCTAATTTTCCTGACTACGGCGACTATCCCCAAGCCTTCGTTATGGTAAAAGTAATAGCTACTTTTGTATTACATGTGCTATTTTTTCACATTTTTTCTAAGTTTAAGTCTTGGACGTATCTATCACTACGTTTTATAAATAAGCATCATTGTTTTGCCGCGTATTTTTGTCCTTTGTGACTCGTGTAAACTAGCCAGGAAGATAAGAAGTCTTGCAATTTTTAAGGAAACAAAAATGCCAATAAAATTAATTTCACACAATAAAGGTAATTGTGACCAGATACTTCATTAAAAAATAGATATCCACTAGGTTGTGTTGTAATTAAATTAAATAATTGCTACTTTACTTACTTACTAACTTATCTGAAGTTAATTTGTTTGTTTACTTCACATGTGGTATTTTTCCCTAAGTCCCAAATACATGCTATTGTAATAACAATTAGGTACCTATATATTTTGTTATCCATATACATAATAATATCAATTATATGCTGCATAATAACACTCTTGGAAAGGCTACTCACACATTTACATAATATTCCATCAGAAATAAATAATAAAAAAAAACATTTTCTCACTATTTGCTCCCATTGTCTACCATACTCTAGCTACTTATGTACAAAATGATACTCATTAAATTATTTTAATTACTATTTTCCATTCATTAACATTAACAAAGATTGCTAGTCATTTACTATTTACTATTGTTATCAGATTTTAAATTTAAATGCCTCAAGACTAATGAAAGAATTAACTAAAAGCTGTAACTAGATCCTAGTGGCTGAATGTCTTAAATAGGTACATTGTTTAAAATTTTTACCTGACTTTAGGAAGGGCATTGCTAAGGGTATTGTTAATTTATTTTGCAACAGTAATAGATACAGTGCAGCACATCTCTCCAACTTCATAATAATATTGTTTGTGGGCTTTAGTTGATCTAACAAATGTTATGTGTGATATTTAAATAAATTAAAATGATACATTTTCAATGCAAGAGACAAAGTATCAGAATGGTAAATATGTTCAATATTTTTATTGGCAATAAAACATATTTTAGTTACAATCTTTTATATTTATTTTAACTTAATTATTATATTTTGTGCTTGAACTTAATCTACTTATTAAAAGTCATACTATAATACCTAAACCTAATTAAATATTTTTTTATACAGGTAAAGTAGGCAGAACATTCATGATAACATGAATTCAAAAAAAAAAAAATAAAAAAAATACCATGCCCATAAACAACTATTATAACTTTTATATTACACCATTGTAATAAGATAAAGACTGCTCTGCATACTTCCTGATGCAAATAAAAATCAAGGGCATTCTATTAATAAAGCAATTTATTCAAACTAACCATTTTCTTTCACATGTGAAGGGATATGATTGTGTTATTAAAAGTAAACAAAACAGCTATACACTATATCAAGGCCTTAATAACTTTTAAAGCCTTGAAATTAAAATGTCACTGGCCATTTTTATTGATTTCTTTTTTTAATTAAGAATTCTTTTTTAATTTAAATTTGCTTGCTACACAAAGAAAAAATAAATCATTTTAAAAATTGTAACTGTAGGTGATAAAAATAGTTATTATCATATTGTTATTTACATGAGTATCAGTTGATATTAAATACCAATACTAATGATCAGAGCCCTACTATTCTTGGTTCAACTTTAAGACTTTGGCTGCTAATAAAAAACTGTTGAAGGTAAATCCTCCGCTAACGCCAGTCACCGATGACCCTCATGGCGTTTAACATGTTAAGTCATGTTTATTAATTAATCAATAATTTTGCCTAATTCAAATTATGTTATTTTGTTCGTTCGAAATTTAGGCTATTGCTAGTGTTTGATTATTAAAGTATTTTATTTTTTTAGAGGACCTATGGGACTTGGTGGGAAGAAGCCCCTTCAGCGCAGAAGGATTATATGCCACAAAATGCTAGTGCAATCACTAGTCAGGATTTCGTTGGTAAGTTTACTCTAAAGCTTAATCAAATAACATTGAACACCCCCTTTTCACCATATCCTGGGTAATGAAACTGGGTAATGTAATGAAATTTGTATAATTGATAAAAACCGACTTCAAAAAACCAAAAACTAAAAAGCTAAAAGTAGCTATCATTAGTACTGATAGGTTAGAAGTCGGCATCAATACAAATTAATCAAGCCCAAACACAAGGTAATTACTGTATACCGTTGAGGAGTTCTCTTAACAGTAACAGTCCCACTCTATCTAGGTGTAAAGTCCTCATTAATACAAATTAATCAAGCCCAAACACAAGGTAGTTAATACAAACCGCTGAGGAGTTCTCTCGACTGTCTGTAGGCTCCATCATCAGGTCGACCCAAGACCCTTATTATTGTAATGTTTAAAAATCGTAATTAACATTAACAAAACATAATAGACTCATTACTCGCCCATAGAATTTTCGAAAGTTCCCCTCGGTTTCCCTAGGTCAGCAGATCCTGATCTCATGGAAATGAAACCATCTTTCAAAAAAAAACAAGAATTCTGGAAGTCTGTTCACAATCAGCCGAACATAGTACCTCCTTCTTTTTTTGAAGTCGGTAAAACACCAAAACACCCCATTACTTTGTCCTACTCCAAACACCTTGTACTTGTACGGCGTTGCTTTTGCGACCACTGAACCAATGAGGCAGTAATCAATTAAAAATCTTAACATAATTTTCTTTTTAAAATAACCAATTTAAGAGGAGATTTAAAAATTTTGTACAACTGACGAAAATTGTGACGTTTTTTTTTTGTTCCCGTATGGTAATCTGAGTAACTGAAATAACGTACTTATACTCTCTAGTTTATAAAGGATAATAAATATTTCACGTAGCGATAGTATTTATTTGTTAAAATGTAAAAATGTGAAGGGTAGGTATTAATTTATGTCAGTTTTGTTATCATACTTAATACCGAATAATAAATAAAAATATGGGGGATTCTTGTACTTTATCATATTTATTCCAAAAACACAGCCTTTTTATATTACTTAATGAATCAACAAATTACAAAATATTTTAGAAAACACTTAAAAATACAATTTTATCTCGGTTTTGTTACCACAGTCTTCAAATCAATCATTGTTTTTCATGCGTATAATGTAAAGTGAATAATATCATACGAAGAAAATGTTCAGAAATTATTAAATAATAAAATTTATAACCAAAACCAAGAATACTACTGAAAGGTAAGAATTTTACGACACAATATTCCAAAATGTTTCAAAACAAAAAGGGGACAGTAACAAAACCGACGGTAACAAAATTGTTAGGCTTGGTTTACATTGCCTCAACACAACAATGAAACTAATAAGAAATATTTAATTATATATCGACTAGATATTTTACTAGACGATAGTTAAATAATTATATAATTATTTAATTATGTGTACTACACATACACAAAACACACACATAAAAAAGTACAAAACGCTTAAATCTTACTTTAATTATAATGAGATCCATAAGAAGGAACATAGTATTCATATCTATTTCTTAAAAATATTCAACGTTTTCTAGTTACATATGATTATACTTATTATGCAAGTCTTGTGAGATTGGTATAAACGTGTTACAAATACTTAGGTCGGCATATAAAAATGTGTACTTTTAGCATGTTATGCTTCTTACAAAATAATCAACATCAGTCTTCTTTAAATTATTATAGTTTTATAAATAATCAACATTTCAAAGTAATATAATCATTCTTCACTAATAAAAATCTCAAAAAATATCAAAGGCACTATTTTTTTTATCTTTATCAATAGTTTAAGATTTGATTAAGAAGGACCTGCACCGATCTGTTTATTAGATGAAAAGTATTTTATTTATATCTAATTCAATGTATTAGACTCATAGACTGTCTATACCCCGGAAGTTGAATTATTTGAGTTGAAATATTTTATGTACCAAAGATTAATAAAATATAATTTGATATAAAATACTTTTCATCCAATAATCAGATCGGTGAAGGTCGTTGTTAATCGTACACAAATGATTCTCATTAAGCTTAGGAACATATTATGCATTCGTCTTTTGGATAATGAATGGATTTTTCTTTTTCGATTTTATTCTTGCTAAGTTCTTCTTTCGCTGTTCCTCATATTTCTCAGGGTTTTCCCTTTTTAACCTCTCTCTATACCTACGCATCTTTTCTTTTGCTGTTAATGGCATACTTCTGAAAACAAAGTTACTTTAAAAATACCAATAGGAAACCTCAGTGCCTGTTTACGTTTTAGGTTTTGTTAGAAAAAAATATTTAATTTAAAAGTTTCCGGAAAGTTTCAAACGAAACATTGAATAAAACAACAGTATTATAAAGAAACAGGAAATTTCCCTGCTTTTTTCAACGCTAGTTAAAACCACTATGTAAACTAAGCTTTATGATGTCGGTTTTGTTACTTTTTCGGTCAAACTATATGTTACCGTCCCTGTAGTAACAAAACCGAAGTAACATAATCTAACCTAACCGAACCAAAATATTAAACATTGCTTTTCAGTTACTCGCTAAGGTAAACTACATACAACAATTTGTTCAGAATAAACCTAAGCATTTAATAATCAATTTATTCTAAACAACGTACGAATAAGTAGGTAAATGTATTGGTACAAACCTGACGATGAATTTCTTCTTAGACCAACCGGTAACAAAACACAGTCGCTCTAGCGACAAAATGATACTGGCATTAAATTTTTAAAATGGCCGATCTACTGAGACTACAGTGTTACCATATTTGGAAAACAAAAAATGCAATTGGTAGATTTAAAAAAAAAGAAATTGACTTAACAAAACTGACTTGTCCGGAACTAACAAATTTCGGGTACACTAATTGTTTTAAAGTTTTAAAGAGGTATGAGGTATTAAAGCTTTTTTAATTATTTTAAACAGGCTATAATTAAGTTATTTTTGTGTGAAAACAGCAAAACGTGGCTAGTTGTTCAGAAAAATATTGATAGAATGAACTTAAAGTTTTCATTTACACTCGGGACAAGCGAAAATGAAGGGAGGTATTGAACTAAAATATTTTTTTAATATTCTATGTTAGCTGGATTTCATTGGCATTTAGTTAAACACGTAGTCAAACATGTGAATTTTCGATCAAAAAAATATTTTAACCCAAATAAGTACATAAAAGTGCATAAAAAAAGAAAAAACTTGAAGGACATGCCAAAATGTGAGTTGTATTAAATTTTTGAATCTCCTCTTAAGTGCTAGGTAACAAGAAAAGCTTTTTAAAATTCTTTAATATTTTTCTATTCTAGTATATGACTAGGTATTGAGTAAAATCCAAAGTCAGGAAGTGCAATTTTATAATTTATCACTAAAAGACATCCTAATGTCGCGGAGAACCTAACGGGCTACCGGAGCTCCGGCTCGACGTGCAGGAGAAGGAACGGGGTGGTTTTTAGTCAGTAAGAGTCTGACACTCCCTCCCGCCTCACCCAGGCGGGAGCAGTCATTCGATGAAATTCCCCCCTTAAAAAAATGTCCAATACAATTATGTATCACAGTGTAACACACACACCAAGGTTAAACAGACATGGAAAGAACTAAAGAAAAACAGTTTATTTGCACTGGCAAACAATTAAATTACATATAAACAAAATATAAATAAAAGTCGTCATTACTGCAATAAGGCCTGTGCTCAGTTAAAAACAGTGGGCCGGGCACGATGGGTCGAGTTAAGGTGCTGATTTTCAGCGCCGTGCGCCAGATGCTAAATCAACTGTACACATATAAGTAATGATATATCTATTTACCAAATTCTGTGTGTTAAAAATTCTTACATTATCATAAACTTAACCCCGATATCCAAGAACCAATTACAAAAAATAAACCTTTTGGCAGAAGTGTCCTTCGAAAAAGCAGTCTACCCACTGGAGGTGTCGATCTTCGAGACCTATAATCCTGGAGCACTGGTCCGCATTTGGGCACTGGGTCCTACAGCCTGGATGTTACTATGGGAAGGAGAACCAGAGTATGTGGGAGACACACCGAGGATATTCAGTCCTCCGATAAGGCAAATCAATGTTCCAACACGGTGAGTCTTTTGTTTTCTTTCTTTATCTGAAGTGATAATATAATCGGTCATCTTTTATTTTATCCGGCTTTTGTTTGTATAGAAATATTTATTTGTTGTAGTTTAGATAAAATGTGATAATGGTGGAGATGCACCGAATATTCGGTGACTATCCGGTATCCGGCTTATCCGGCCGTTACTTACTATCCTACCGAATACCGGCTGGTAATTTACTATACGGCCGGATACCGAATAATAAACTTGGTAGATTTTATAAATGAAATCTAAATAAAGACACAGTTGTACGTAATTGAATCTTTTTATTACTTTAAACAATTTTAACTTTTTATAATAACAAATCAAAACCTGCACGGCGAGCGGCGTGGCGGTACGCGACACGCACCTACGAAACTCAAAATGTAGGTATCACACTGCTGGCCGAATATTCGGCTGGTGGTCAGGCCGAATATCCGGTATCCGGCCAAACAACTATTCGTTGCATCTCTAACAATGTGTGCTTTGTGGAAATTAATGACAGTATTTTTTTTTTCTAATTATGCATAACGAGTACAGTAGAATAGGTCACCCAAATGTCACGATTTTTGCATACCTTTCTCACTCGGTTGGTGCGGTGGCTGGGCAACCGGCTGCCGTGCAACGTGTCGCAGGCTCTATTCGCACACGGAACTCTTTGTGTGATCCACAAATTGTTGTTGCGGGTCTGGGTGTCATCTATATGTAAACTTATATCGTTGTAAACGCACCTAAAAGACAGGAGAAAATTCTAGTGTGGGACAATATTTAGAAAAAAAAAACTGTATGGGTACTTCTTTTTTTTTTTTAAATTAACTTTTGATTTGGAACATTTTACAATCCGACGCAAAAAGAGGGACGTTATTCGCTGTTACCTCTTTGGTTGACATACGTCCTAGGGCGTTCTCTCTACCTACGGTCCTACAAAATATAATAAATATTCCAAAAAACTTGTAAACACGTGATTTCGTTGCCGCCTTTATGCCATACAAAAGTAAACAGTTTGAAAGAGAAAGCCTAGAAGAATTTCGTTAGAACTTCATATGGTTTTCCCTGTGTAAAAATTTCCACGTTCCGATACTTCGAGAATACGTACCGAAGTCACGTTTTTAAAGTCATGTTACCTTTTATTTGTACATTTAGATTTCGATATTGCACGTGGAAGTTACTCGATATGAATTCATTTTTGTGCTACCATTTACTATGTGCATAAAATGCTTCAGTTATTATAATAAATATTATAATATATTAGGTTTGTTCGTCACAATCTTTGTTAACATTTTTTTAGAACATTGGAAACTTTTTGAAAGTTTAATCAAATTTAAAACAAGTAAAATATTTTTATTACTTATACAGTCAGTTCTGGCTGAATTGAATGACAAACTCAATCATGATTTTTTTTGATACTGCAAGAGTTGATAAAAAGAAGAACGAACATGTTGTCTAGTCTACAAAGGCCCAAATTTCGAGTTATCTTATTAAGGAGTATGGAGATAGAAACTATTTCTGTATTGCAAATATCATTTGATTCAAATATGATTTAAAATATTAGGTCTGTTTGTTCCAAACATCCCATCAATGTCCTCATTTTGGTCATGTGCCGCTTAATACGACTAAAATGACGAAACTTGACCGCGGCGTCTCTTCGATAACTGACTTCCGATCTCGTGTTTCATATCGGATTGACTTTGGCTTCCGAAATATCACGTGTTGGAATATAAACGTCACAGATTTAAGGGACTGGTACAAATCCTTTACAATAGCATGCTAAAACATTCTATTGAGCATGCCCAAAAATTTTACACCTGTCGATTTGCAAACATATCCGAAATGAGCGTGCTAATTTGCAGCTACATTCCGATTCCGACACAAATGCTATTAAGTGACAATGGCTCAAATAAAGCATGCTTTTGTGCTTGAAATTAGCATGTGTAACAAGTACCCATTCATCTCCAATCAATTTGTATGAACTTTAGGGAATGATATTTCAACATGTATCTTAACTATAACACTGGAACTAGGACGATTCCCTAAAATATAAAGATATTTCATTAGACAAAAATAGATGATTTTGACTAGGTAGTCAAATACATAGGTATTAAAACACTTTCATTAATCTGCCTACTTTTTGATATAGCCAGCATGCCAGTTGACGCAGAAAATTATAGATTATGTTTACGTTTGAAAAAAAAAACAATCATCGCTATTATTTATTTTTCTTTGTAACAGGATTTTGAGATTGGAATTCAACCACAAGCTACTACCTTACTACACTGAGTTGGATGCGGTACTCCTACGTGGTAGACAGCCAGCGAATTTAACCAAGCATTTAAGAAACAACTTCTCTTACTCTTCGCTCTTCTATAAGCCTGTAGTAGAAAAAGGTAAGTTCAATTTTGTTTATTTTTTCTGTAATGACATACCTAAGGAGTTTTTCAATATTTTTATAGGATATTTTGCATTCTTAATTGGTTATCGATTCAAAACTAGTTACCGGTACTATAAAGGTCAAAATGATATCTAAAGATTCTAAAACTGGTTGCAAATTAACAAAAAGTCACACTCCTAATGAATCAGCATGCGTGAGCCAGCGGCTTAAATAGTTTTGCATGGAGGTTAGGATTATGAGCCCCCGACGAGGGTTGACACGAGTCGAGTCAGTCGAACAATCACCTGAGGGCTTCGTACGAGTTTGTTTTACGCAAAGTAATTGAAACGAGACTGTTCGGCGCTCTGATTGGTCGGTTCATTGGAGCCGGCCAATCGGAGCGCCCAACGCATACTCTAAGGCCGCTGTACAACTAAATTAACGGATTATATTCTCTAATCACACGATAGTTATGAAACAAAAATGAGTAATGTACAAGTTTGCTTTAGCCCATAAATCCCCAAGCGGTCACCGGTGACCGCTTTCCACTAATATTACATTACATTATAGACCTTATTTGTAATGTTTAGAGACTACTTTTGTATGACCAAATTTAGGGGATGGATTTCAACGGGTCTGTAAAATTGTGTACGGTAAATGGTAAACCTTTGTCTCAAAAGTAAAGAGGTTTTTAACAGACGCAATGTTATGAATGGAAAAATCCATAACATTCGAAGTTATGTAGGTGTGATATAAGCCGACTTTATTCCTTACTAGCGACCCGCCCCGGCTTCGCACGGGTGCAATATGTATATACATACAAACCTTCCTTAAGAATCACTCTATCTATTAAAAAAACCGCATCAAAATCCGTTGCGTAGTTTTAAAGATCTAAGCATACATACGGACATACAGCGAAAGCGACTTTGTTTTATACTATGTATTGATACAACCTCCTTATGCCGTCACTAATTACTCTTGTGTCAAGATAAAGTGGATTTAAACTGTCAAATACCAAGCGGTCACCGGTGACCGCAACCTATTGTTCTATAATTGTGTCTACAAAACCGGTACTCGACGAGTTAAATCGATTTACAAGTCGACTTTCCTTGTCGGCCATCTTATTTGTAGCTGTAATTTGTTTGCTTTCTGTCACGTAGTTTGGTTATCAAAATGGCATATTCTGTACATTTTATAGGTAGATACTAAAGGATTTTTCCTTGATATATTAACTGACCTATCCCCAAGCGGTCACCGGTGACTGCTCTCCATTAACTTCATAATAGTCCTTATTTACGATGTTTAGAGATTACTTTTGTCTGAATAAAATTTGGGAATTTATATCAAGTGATTGTGTGCGAGTTTGTAGTTGTCAGATGATAGAGAAATTAGTGCAGACAGTTAACAGTGAAGTGATTAGACTTAACGACTAGGTAGAATATCTCATTAATCTGAAAATTGCTTTGATAAAAGTAGAACTACCTATTATTAATATTCCGCACGTTCGCATTCACGTTTCAACACTAAGTTTTAAAAGCGTTAATGTAAAGACGTAACACTGAAGTTGTTAACCATGGTCACGGTTGTACCCCATTCCATCGATTGTCAACTGTAAAACCAAAGGAATACGTTCCAATTTCCAACAGAAATGGTTTATTTTTCTTTGATTTAAGATAAGTTTCTTGTGTTTGTCTTATAGTGAGATTTTCACCTTTATTCCCAAGGATTTACGTTTCAAAATGTGTTTTTATTTTACTTCAATATAAAATAATTGTTTTGTATCTAGGTACTAGGTCTCGTTCATGTAAACGTGCAGTCTAGAGTGACTGTAATGGTGTATACTATGTTATGAAATCGTGTTTTAAACGTATTCAGGTACCGGACTTTAAGATTACTCATTATGTACCTTATCGCGATGAGCTCCTCTTATGTATACGTTATGCTACGCTATAGTGCACTAAACACCCAATCATATTAAACTTTATAAAGTCAGACAACTGCGTAGGAATTTGGGAATCTCTAGTCCTTTGGACCCTTGGTGAAATGACGATGTGAAGTTTCAGTGTCGCCTAAATCTGTGCCTAGCACTTTTCGTGCAGCTTAAGCTGCGGAGGACTTAACGGGTTTCTGGGGCTCCGGCTTGAAGTGCACCAGTAGGAACGGGGTGGTTTTTAGTCAGCAAGAGTCTGACACTCCCTCCCGCCTCACCCGGACGGGAGAAGACATTACCCCCTGCCCTTCAAGAAAAAAACACTTTTTATTTACAAACAAATTATACGTATAATAAAACGTGGTGTGCGCTAAACTAAAGCAACAAGTAAATCGTTAATTAAACACAATCACAAGGGAAAGGAAAATCGAGTTTATTTTTTCGCAAACAAGTTTTTATTGCTTCTGGTTCATTAAAAATAACAATTATTTCAACTGGCTGTCCAATTGTTTCAAAGTAAGAAATGAGATGAAGAGATATTGATGAAGATGATTTACAGCCTTGAGAGCATGGTCTGTGAACAAATTAAAATGGGTTTTTTTTCTGTGACTTTATAGAATCTAACAGATCCAATTCTTACTAGATAATAGATATGGCCAATCTATACATAAAATAAATGTATTATTTTGATTCCAGTTGTAAGCCTAAAGTAGTAGTCGTAAGCCTAGTATTTTTATTTATCGGTTTGGGCATTAATAGGTAAAATACATAAATACAGAAATATTTGATATGTTAGGTAGGTTCTTAGTTCCTAGGTTCTGAGTAGGTGTATGTAGGTACTGCACTGATTGCCATGACTTTGTAAGTACAATCAATTCTTAAATTGGCAATAGATTGTTTTTATATCGGTGACTTGCATAAATTACTCGACAATTTCAGAATAAATGAATATATTGAAGTCTTCCCAAACGATATCGGCGATGGGTCGTCCAAAGGCTAAAGGCTACATAAAAAGGATAATAGGAAATCGGTATCCAACTTTCCGCCAAGCGGATTGTAAACGAATAACGTACTTTTATATCAATATTAAACAAATTCATACCTATTTAGGTATCTACTATGCATAATATAAATTCGTAGGTATATATTAAAATTGTTAATTAAAACGATGTCTTAATGAATAAGGAAACATCCTTAACTATCGCAATACTTATCATTCATCATTGTTTTCTAGGTCAGCTGCTGAACCGAATAATTGCTTCCAACCTTCACGAGAATATCGCGCCACAGATTGTAACGCCAAGGGGTCAGAAGCAAATCGACACTGGACCACCACTTGGAGACTTCCAGCAGTTACCTGTAAGTATTACGCATATGGTTAAAGTTAATACATACGTATTTGTTAATGTAAGGTTATATTATACGTACGCGTACGGCGTGTCGGACCACCACGGATGGGGCCCAATAGTGCTAATGCCGATACGGAGCCTCGGAGAACGTAAATGGTTACCGGGGCTCCGGCTCGAAGTGCATGAGTAGGAATAGAGTGGTTTTTAGTCAATAAAAGTCTGACACTCTATCTCGCCTCACCAAGGCGGGGAGAAGTCATTTGATGATGTTCCCCCTATAAAAAAGGTTGTGTTGTATCTCATCAGGCATCGTTTGAAATAAGTAGTGTAATTAAAGGATAATTGATTTAAATTAAGAAGTTAATCCTAAGACGATGCTACCTTAGTTTTTGGTGTGAAGGGCCAATGCTTAGGCACGAATGGGCGGGTCTAACCGAAGTGATGCCACGGCCTCACATAAAATTGGCATGAAACAACACTTGCCTTGTGTTTAACCGTGTTAGTGGAGTTACCGGAGTCCCATAAAAGCACGCCAACGATATGGGCGGCGCTGATCACTTCAGATCAGGTGACTTGCTCGTTTAGGTCTGAATGTGATGTAATACGGGAGAAATTCCTCCCGTATTACATGTTCTGAGGGCTTAGTACGATTTTGTTTTGAGGAAAAACAAGCTCGTACTAAAGGCTCGTACACAAAACTGCGATGCGATGTCGCATCGCAAAAATGTGCGAGCTCCCTCTACGCATCGCAAGAATTTGCGAATTGATTCGCATCGCGCATCAAAATTCCAGTCTTTTTTGTTTCTTTTTCCTGTATCTCCTAAGCAATAACAGAAAAGCACACTTTTTTACGATCCATGTCACGACCTAGTTTTCAATTAAAAATACATTTAATACGGTTGACGGTTGTCGAAGGAATGGTCACCATGGGAGTCGCCTTGTCGCATGAAATCGCATCGCAGTAATTAGCATCTTAATTTAATGCGTTGCGAATTCGCATCGCAGTTTTGTGTACGAGCCCTAAGCCCTCGCTTCTTACAAAACATTGAGTCAAGCAGTATTCATTTGTGATGTAGACACGCGTGGCTGTGTGTGGCTTCCAACACTCGATAAAGAAACGACGCAAAAATCGGAGAAACAATGTTGCTTGCAAGTGGTTCTTTGAAATGTTCTATTAAATTGCTCACACCTGACTAATTACCATAATCACTTAGTACATTGTTATTATTGTATTTATTACTTATCGTGAGAAACATCCATTTCATTTTATTTCCTCTATTGCTTTATTTGAGCAGAAATATTACCTACTGATTTAGAACGTAATAAGTATGCTTACAATCTATGCTGTCTTTAGTGCGTATATCTCTCTATAACTCGCTAGTTCGTGTATCAAGTCTCTTTTCTAAAAGTCCCACAAAATTCCCTTCTTTAGTGTTTCTATTGGTGATTTCTTCTGGAGGTATGCTTGAAGGAATTATTCTTACAAGTTGATTGTACGGAATCGGACATATAAATCGCCTAGCTAGTATTTTTATAATTGATGAAGTTATTAATTAAAATTTTAATATCCGAGTTTTATACTTCATGCAATCTCGCAATAAATTATTATTATTATTCAGATCCGAACACTTCCTTTTGTATTCGATTTCAAATATAATAGAATCAAAAATAGATTTTCATACAAGACAGAATACCTAAAATAGACAAGTATTTTGATACAACCGCTGACTGCACGTGACGCGGACGTAAACAAATCAATAAGGTAACTTGCCGTGGAAATTATTGACCGTACAGCTACAGTCGTTGATTATTTAAAAAAAGACTAAATTATACATTATTTTTTGTGCTTAACAATAAGTAACATAACATAACATAACATCACGCCTTTTATCCCCGAAGGGGTAGGCAGAGGTGCACATTACGGCACTTAATGGCACTGTACAATGCAACACCCACTTTTCACTATTTATGTTACAAGTCCCATGTAATAGGGGGTGAGCCTATTGTCATATACCGGGCACAATCCAGACTCCGTGCTACCACTGAGAAGTTTTTTAAAAACCCAGTAATACTTTGCCCGACCCGGGAATCGAACCCGAGACCCCTTGCCCGGCAGTCGAACTTGCGACCACTCGACCAACGAGGCAGTCATAATATAACAATAAGTAATAGGTAGAATATATAAGAATCTAGTAATATGGAAGGTTACATAACAATATTAGAGGTATAAGAAAATTGACCTAAAACGGTGCGTCATCCCGAAACAATAGGTCTATATTTAGTCTAATACAAACAATGTATTTCAAGACAATACTGTTATGTCTTCGTCTCCTACAATACAATTATAAAGGTTAGTTTCAAATAAAAACATAGGAATATAGACACTATGTTATATTACTTACGTATTAGTTTAGGAAAATGGGTTCTTGTAGATTTTATATTGGAAATCAACTTAATTATCAATAGCCCTTTATAGTCAGAGTCAGGGTTTGTCGTAATCTATACGCCTGACAAGCAGTTTAAGGCCCAAGTTTGTTAGAAACATTTTTTTGAGGGGGAAAATCATCCAATGACTTCTCCCGGCTTGGGTGAGGCCAGAGGGAGTGTTAGACTCTTACTGACTAAAAACCACCCTGTTCCTACGCCTAACTAGCTGGAGCCCTGGAAACTGTTTCTTTCAAATGTGTTATTAGATTATTAGGATTCCCGCGGGAGGAGTTAGAATTGTTTTTTTTATGGCATATGCCGTAAACGAGCAGACGGATCACCTAATGGTAAGCAATCGACGTCGCCCATGGACACCTGGAACACCAGAGGTGTTACAAGTGCGTTACCGGCCTTATTTTTATTTTAGGAGTTTTGAGGATTGTTGGTGATTCAGGAATTGGGGAGATTGGGGAAGGGGAGGGTAATTGGGCATGCGGTAACCTCACTCACACGACGAACAAATATGGTTGTGCCAAATATATTCTAGTCTGACCTGAACACGAGTAATGACTTGAATCAGGGTACCTAAATTTAAGTGAATTGACAATAAGACAAGGTTTCACATTCGTAATGTATGCTCACTATAAATCCCATTACTTGTTATTATTATTATGTAACGCATTCCTCGAGTGTTTTATAACAAAAACACGTGCTTCACAAACATTCGCACCCGTGAATATTTCTTTACAAACAATACGTAACGAGTGCTGAAAAGTACTGTAATACAATACGTAACATTTGTGTTATACTGTAGAAAAATGTAATCAAGAACAAAATTCTTTATAGCATACCGGTACTAACTTTCCGGCGTTTATCGTTTACGGCTTCACTCGTATGATATTTAAAAGGTTTCTCCTAAGTTAGGCTGTCCTATAACTCCTATAGGAAAAATGACGCACAGACCACTTTTTCCTGCAGATCGTTTTGGCTTCCCTTATCTCCTAAGTTATAGGTACATTTATGGTAAATGCTTTCCATCTTCTTCATAAGGTCATTTACCATCTAAGTGTCCATCTATGTTGCGGAAAACCTAACGGGTAACCGGGGCTCCGGCTCGACGTGCAGGAGAAGGAACGGGGTGGTTTTTAGTCAGTAAGAGTCTGACACTCCCTCCCGCCTCACTCAGGCGGGAGCAGTAATTCGATGATTATCCCCCCTTAAAAAAAAAGTGTAATTTTATAGGAGGCTTTAGGTCAAAATTCGTCTGAGGATCAATATATTAGACGGAACGATCATCCCTCCTGCACATCCCTTTAGTTTATTTAACTTATTTTATGTAGTTGTTTGTATATGACTACCGGTACCAATTGATATATTATAATGAAGCATACAAAACATTCAATCAAATCCAGATACTGAAATAAAAAAAAGAAAAAAAAACAATTTTGTTACATCAAAACGACGACGATAAAGTAGGTCGAATTCGTTATCAGCTTCCTTTATAGGAGGTTGACAATGGCATAACTAAAATATTCTTATGTATTACACCTACTGTTATATCATTTAGGTACTGCCCGATTGGAGAATAGATGTCATTTGTCTTATGTGTAGATAAATAAAACTGAGGTCTATTAGATATTTTACCTATCCCAAATAACTTCGAATCGCCATAGAACCCAGCATAAAAGTGACTTGAAAGTATGTGAGAAAGTGTGTTTTCTTAATGATTATTATTGGTTAGTTAGTAAAGTTGGTTACAACGAATTAGATAATTTATACTAAAACTAAGTTTTGTTTTTGTATAACTGAGATAACCTGGTGTTCGTTTGGGTTTCTTTGTTATCTTGACAATGTTATGAAGTACCTATTTGAAAGCGTATTTTTATATGTAAAATACATTATGTTAAAATAAACACTACTCGATTCATTGGCAAAATAAAGTCGTATAAATATAGCCATAATGGAATCAGTAGCTATTGGCAAAAATGCAATACAATTGTTCTAGAATTCTATGACTATTATTAGTGATTATGCCTATTTACCACATAACATTAATTATTGAGTTTGTTTTTCCGTAATTTACACTAATTTCTGAGTCATTAATAAGTTTACATACAGTATCTTGGGAACCCTATGTGTAGTTATATGATTTCAGAAATTATCTTAATTAGCACTAAGTCTCGAAATATGAAAAAGCCACCTATATACGAGTATCAAAAAGTTGTTAAATTTAATACGTGGTTACATCGACAGCTATTGACCATATCTGCTTTACCATTATTTTAATCATTTAAAAAAATAAACACCAATATTTTTATCTATTTCAGGATGAGACCACACTCTGCGTGATGAAGTACTTGGACATCCAGTCACTCTGCCGATGCGCTCAAGTCAACAGGCATTTCAACAGACTCGCTTCTGACTACATACTGTATAGGAGCATAGACCTCAGACCTTATTGGCATTGCGTACAATCTCAGGTAAGTTTCCCACTGTTTTACTATATTATAAGGAAACATTTCATACAAAATAGACGTTGGTGTTTTAAAAAAGACAATACATACTTATTATCTTTGAAACAAGTGAAACAAGTGAAATTATTTCTGCAAATAGGCTACAAGGCAGCACTTTTACACGTCAATTTTATCAAGCGAACGATGAGGTCGACGAAAACTATGCATCATCATCATATCAGTCGTAAGACGTCCGATGCTGAACATAGGCCTCTCCTAATGAGTTACAGATAGGCCGGTCGGAAGTCCACCTGCATCCAGTAATTCCCTGTGACGTTAATCAGGTTGTCGGTCCATCTGATGGATGAAATTCAAAATCGAAACTGTGCTATCTTTTTCAAACTGTGCTTCCTAGGAATTAATTTCTGCCAAGCTTTACGACGAATAGATACTTGGTTATATTATGAAAATAATAGAAAGAAAATTGATTGCAATGTTGATGTGAGGGAAATATCCTATTTGTGATCCATTAATTGTTGTAACGTATTACATAACATTACGCCTTTTTATCACCGACGGGGTAGGCTGAGGTGTACCTACATTACAGCATTTAATGGCACTGTACAAAGTAACACTCACTTTTCACTATTTATGTTATTTAGTGTCATGTAATAGGGGGTGAGCATATTGCCATATGCCGGGCACAATACCAGACTCCGTGCTACTACTGAGATTTAAAAAAAAACCAGTAATACTTTTCCCGACCCTGTAATTATACCCGAGACCCCTTGTCCGGCAGTCACACTTGCAATTACTCGGCCAAAGAGACAGTACTTAAGATTTATTTATTTTGAAATTAACACAAGGTGATGTTAATGTTACGTAAAGCTACAGTCTGAGTTAATTAAATCGTTCCGTCGAGGTCGACGTCGGTCAAGTTTAAGGTTGCCGGATTAAGTTATAATAATATTATATTCACGTAAGTTTAAAATTGGACCTAATTCGTAACCAAATAAGGTATGTTACGTGAGCTTGATAAAATGACATAACATAACATTACGCCTTTTATCCTCGAAGGGGTAACTGCATAAGATGATTCAGTTATAAATAGGATACTTTGTTATGACATATTGATTTGCTATTTTATATTCCAAATATTACTAAAAATGCGAACGTAAGTTTGTTTACTCAACCAATCTTCTTAAAATTTTGTTATCAGAAAGTTAGACAAAAATACAAATTTTATTTTTATCTAGCTTTTTTGTTCTAACTTGAAAAATATTACTCACGTTGTTTAAAATTTGTTAAAACAATTTAGTACTAAATTGGACGAAAAATATAAACCAGTTTTACGATAGTTTTGTTCGACGCGTTTTTTATAACCTAAGGAGTCACTATATCCATCGCATTTTTTAGTCTTTACGTCGACTGTTGTATATTAAATGGCTGCTATAAAAAGAAATAAATGACGAATTTCCAATAGTAATTAATACACAAATACCATACCAAATAAACCATAAAACGGTAGATCCAAATGAAATTTAGCACAAATATACTTAGTAAAATTATCCCCCTACCCTTTAGAACCTGTCGCGGAGAACCTAACGGGTAACCGGGGCTCCGGCTCGACATGCAGGAGAAGGAACGGGGTGGTTTTTAGTCAGTAAGAGTCTGACACTCCCTTCCGCCTCACCCAGGCGGGAGCAGTCATTAAATGATTTTCCCCCCTTAAAAAAAAAACCCTTAAGAACCTAACGGGTAACCGGGGCTCCGACTCGACGTGCAGGAGAAGGAACGGGGTGGTTTTTAGTCAGCAAGAGTCTGACACTCCCTCCCGCCTCACCCAGACGGGAGCAGACATTCGATGATTTTCCCCACTTAAAAAAAACCTTTCAGTATGAAAACTACCTAATAAATACGTTTTTAGACATTCTTTATTTCCTCACGTGTGGAACAATAAATCAAGTATGTTAGTAGCCTTACAACGTTTTAGAACGCCCGCACTGTTCGAACTCACGTGTGTTTTACTCAACTCACGTTTATATGTCATTTACCCTAAAAACTGGTTTCGTTTTAAATATTTTAATAGTTGATTCACAGTATAAAGTAATATTGAATAAAGCCTTCGATACATTTTGACTTCTGAATGATTGTTTTATTATAAGTCATAAAGTATTTTTGTTCTGGAATATGGTTCGACTTTGTTTTATGGAAGAGACCGTTTTTGTTAGCCCGTATTTGTCCACTGCTAGATAATTATAGGCTTAGCCACTGAGATCGATTCTCATCTCTTTTCACAGTATTAATGTGCCATATTTAATATTGAAGCTTCAATGTGCAAGTTTAGACTCACTGAGAATTCGAAGTCAAAATTCAATTAGACCAGAAAAACACTTTTGAACGTCAACAAAAAAATTTAAAAGTGAAGCTATTTGCTAATTCCAAGTTGTAGATTCCTTTGGAGAAGAACGAGCAAGAAACTCCATAGATTACTATTTTTCAATCAGGTTTACAATACAATCTTAATTAACAAAATAAAAAAAATGATGGTTCTTTGAATGACCTTAGTAGCCCGTTCCCAATATAGCAATATACAATATTTATATGTAATCATATTTAAATATTTCCAATTATTTTATTTATTATGTTTGTTATAATTTGCTTAAGTTTATATTTTATCATTATACTAGCGACCCGCCCCGGCTTCGCACGGGTGCAATATGTATATACATACAAACCTTCCTTAAGAATCAATCTATCTATTAAAAAAAACCGCATCAAAATCTGTTGCGTAGTTTTAAAGATCTAAGCATACATACGGACATACAGCGAAAGCGACTTTGTTTTATACTATGTATTGATTATGGTCATTCTAGTTTGAAGTTCTATCAGTAATTTTATTTTGTTTTGTATTCGTTGCATGTATCATTTACGCTGTGTCTTATGTTTAATTTCATTTTCCTGTCGCAGGTCTGCAGGAAGAAATCCCTTAAGGGATATGCAGTACCTATGTACCTCATGCTTGTTATGTGTTGTACTTTGTAATATTGTCTGTGTGGTGTAGGTACATGAAATGATAAATAAATAAATAGCACTCTAAAAACAGCAAGTTACTTATTAATTATGTTTTCTGTGCTCCGCATGTTGTACAGTTTTCTTGTATCAAAACATGACATTCAATCAATTAGTGTCGCGAATTGATTTATGAGATGATGGTTTTTAACCATACTTGGATAAGAACTGACTATCTTACTTATTTTCCTCCGTTTTTTTATGGTATAAGTCGGTAAACGAGCGTACGCATCACGAGATGGTAAGCAATCGACGTCGCCCAAAGACACCTAGAACACCAGAGGCGTTACCGGCCTTTTGGGAATTAGGAGTTTGAGGATTGTTGGGGATTTGTTGATTTTGATGGTTGAGTGGATAAAATGTAATGGGATGACAAACGAACTTATTTTCACAATAGGTAGCTCTTTTAGCGCGGTTTCGTCCGCTGCTCTGAGTCTTTCCAGCGACGCTTCTTCGATATACGGACAATCCAATACAAAAATAACTAAAAATAACTAAAAATCTAAAGTTACTTACGTGAATATACTGAGAAAAGCTCTACTAGTTTCGAACCACATGGGTTCATCCAGTTCCAGATGTCGCGCAGAGCTTTTACAAACCTTAGTTTTATAATATTAATATAAATTTATAAGAATCGTATTTAAATGAATCACGGTATAAGTCTACCATTTAAAAGTTAATCATAACTCCATCTTTTATTTCCAGGTGCTGGCAACTCTATCGATGCGCTGCAAATTCCTTCAAAAACTAGATTTATCTTGGTGCGGGAGTCATCGCATGATACAGCCCAATTATGTAGTAAAGTGAGTACAATCATCGCCAATTTATTTCTTTAATTTACTGTTTTGAAATAATTGTAATACTACACCTACTTGTACTTGAATAATCAGTCTAATTGTAAGAGTTTCAAGGTTGTTTATTGATTTGCATTTTCAGAAGAATGCTAATAACTCAATGACAAAAGGATTAAAGTAGTTGTTAAATTAAACTTGAAAGTGACTTGACGGTTAGCTCAAAAAGTGGTCTAATTAGCGTAGTAATACGTTGCTGATTCGATTCTCACAGAAGACAATTCCTTGTGTGATTTTTAAATTGCTTCTTGGATTTACTTTTGATTCGTGTGTGTCTCACGACCCACAACACAGGAACAATTCTAGATATATAACGACTTACGTAACGGTTTGACGAGGAACTCGACTAGTTTCAAGTCGCGCTAGGAGCTCATAATCATGACCAGCATTACGCGTGTAAGCAGTTATACATAATAATTAGTTAAAGTTATGTAATAATACAATATTTCTAATGTAGAACGAAGTGTACATAAATTGAATTCTACGATAGTTGATTCCATTATACTTTATTAAATTATTTTTACAACCTTGTCCGCAGTTTCCTGAAAGACAGTGGCGCAGAATTAACACATCTTCGCATGAATTGTTGCAAATTCGTTGACAACTCCGTGCTAAGAGCCATCGTTGACACCTCCACAAGTTTACAAGGTTAGTTTGTTATTATGTTGCCATGGTGTTTTGTAATCTGTGGATCTAAATAAATAAGTACCTATAGGGTTAATTTTATGTCAACTTCTCTGGCGTCCTAATCTAAAATCAAGACAATTTCAATCAATTCATTACCCTGACCAAGATAATTTGACATATAGACATTTAATAAGGCCCAATCCCCGTCCCCCATCTTCAATCTCCAAATATCTAATCCCCAAAAGGGCCAGCAATGCACTTAGTAACTCCACTGGTTTTGAGGGTATCCATGGGCGGCGCCGATCGTTTACCATCAGCTGATACTTCTGCTAGTTTGCCGTCTCATTCCATTAAAATAAATAACATAGTCTTGACTAATATGTAGTACTTTTATTTTCTTGTTAAAAATAGGTGTTGGTTGATAAAAAACAGTCAGCTCTATTCAAGGAATTGACAATATATTTAATAATTTGCCTTTGCTTTATTTCTCCTAAGAAAACTAACCAAAACATAATCATTTCCAGAGTTATGCCTCCGATCAGTAGTTGGCTGTTCAGACTGGATATGTCTATCTGCTTTGAAAAAACTCAAGCGTTTGGATCTATACAGAACTGATATAACTACTTCAGCTGCCGTAGCCATCATCAGATCCAACCCTGGGTTACGTCATCTTAATGTTGGTGAGTTATTGAAGCTTTGATTTATATTATCGTGGGCAAACCTTTTAATGATAGTCGGTCAGAGCTCAATCCCTATTCCTTTTGCAACAACCGGCAACGTATTTGCATCTCCTCTAGTGTGGTGGGTACCTTCGTCTGCACGTTTGTCTGATATGCCAGAAATAAGTAGGTACCTATTACAGACACAATTCCAGATTACGTGCTATTAGGTAATAGCACGTAGTACAATTCCAGACATCAATAATAATTAATAATTCCAGGTTTCCAATTAATAATTAAAAATTCTGGAATTGTACCTGGTGTTAAGCCATATAATTGATTGACACTTCTCACTTCACACTTGAAATTTTTAATCATATTTTGGTGCTCAATGTTTAGCAATAAAATGACTGTAGAAAAGTGAATGCGGCCGTTATTATTGGCGGGCTTATTGTTTATAATACCAATCTAATTAAAAAAATGGTTGCCTGTAAAGTCGTTTTTACGGGCGAAGATTTTACGTGACAACGTCTTTTTCTCGGTAGAATATTTATTGATATGAATATAATTAAATTGCACAATAGGAACAAGGAATTGAATGAACTAGTGCTGCGCGCGCGGCAGACCGATCATAGTTGAGTGGGAGAGAGACGCAAGGCATTCGGCGGGCCTCTCTCTCGTTCGGTGACTCATCGTAACGTTACCGAGCGTTACACTTTTTCATAAGTGACTCCCAGCCGCAACCTAATTTAAGACGTTGTCACGTCAAAACTGAGCCAACCTACATTCACAAGCGTGGTGATTAATGCTCAAACCTTCTTCGTGTAAGAAGAAACGTATACTCAGCGGTAGGTACTTATAGGCTGACGTTGATGTGATGTGTGATGTGAATTGAAACACCACTTTTACGCAAATCGCGTCCTTTTAGTAATCAATAATTAAACCTTCATAAAATTCCAGGTTCATGCAAAATGATATCGTCGATGGACGAAGTGGCGATAGCATTAGGCGGTAATTGCCCAAACTTGGTGTCTGTGGACTTCTGGAAGTCGTACTCATTGACTCCTAACGGTATCAGAGCATTAGGTAACTGCAAAATGCTGCAGGAGTTGGATGTTGGCTGGTGGTAAGTAATAAACCTATTTAATGTTCTAGACTTATGATGGTTCTTTTTACCCTATTGTAAAAGGGTATTCGTTTTTTATTTGAGAAAGTTTGCATTGCGCTTGGTTTGAGAAAATGTTCAGTTTTGTTAGAGAACCTCTTATTATTAATTATTTTAATCATTTTTTTGATGCCTATAAAATTATTATTATTATTTTTTAAGGTGTAAATATTTTAATTTTTTCATAGTTATTTATATTTTAAGTTGCATATATTTTCATTTAGTAATAGGTAATATAAATTTTATTTAAATAAATAAATTATTAAAGTAATCAAGTTCGGTAAAACGGTAACTTCAAAAACAGATACATTTCCTTAAATGACAATTTGCATTTGCTACAAAATTATTGCCTTCTCAACACTCGCTTTTGCTTAATAAAGTATTATTACTGATTGTTCGGTTTGGGACCCGTGTAATTGATTCCCTTACGCTACGTCCTGCGTGAACGATCTGGAAGCGAACGTTTTATGAAGCGGTGACACGGGAATTTAACGTGTTGCGGTGCGACGCGGCGGCTTTGTCCTACGTGCATGCGCATCGTTTCGCTCCGTTTTTCTTGCCGTCATAATATCCAAACAAAAACATGACAGCACTGCATTCAAATATGACAGTTTGCGCGAAAATATCAAATCAACTGATCGAGTCCACGGCATTTCGCGCCGCTCCACTCCGCATACCACAGACGTATTGTCATGCAGGACACTTCAATAGGGTTAGGCAATTTGTTGTTTCGCGCCGGCCTCACCGCTTCAGATTTGCTTCTAGGTCGCTCACACAGGATGTAGCGCTATATTAATACTGAAAAATAACGTATTACCTAGTTATGTGTAAATAAACATTTATAATATCTAATAGCCCTATTTCTAGTCCTAATAAACCATTATTTTATTCGACAGCTTGCAAGCAGGTGGTTCTGGAGAGTGGTTGGGCTGGTTATCAGTCGGCGAGCTTCGCAAACTATTCCTCGGGGCTCTGCGCGGTGTCTGCGACCGAGACCTTCGCTCCTTGATACCCAGAGCACCAAAATTGGCGCAGTTAGATCTGTTGGGAGTCAGGGCGGTTACCGCTGATATTTGCGATTCGTAAGTACTTTCTCTAATCACCAAATAACATGTATTACCGCATGTTGACTGCAGGTTCGATTCCCGGGTCAGGCAAAGCATTACTGGGCATTTTGGAAAAATTCCCATTGGTAGCATGGAGTCTGGAATTGTGCCCGGTAAATGACAATGGGCTCACTCCCTATTACACGGGACTCAACATAAATAGTAAAAAGTAGGTGTTACATTAAGTATTACAGTGGCATTAAGTGCCGTTATATGCACCTCTGCCTACCCCTTTGGGGTTAAAAAGCGTGACGATAAGTTAAGTACCGTTGAAAACTACTAGATGGCTCTATGTTAAATGCATAATACCTGATGTTGAAGATTATCTGTTCGAATCACAAGTAAAGTGCGCGATTTAACATGAATAGAATTTCTTAACGTTTAACTATTGGGTTAGCTGTATACCTAGTTACATCCGAAGATCTTCGGGACAACACATCTCTTTTAAATATGTAAAGGTCAACAGATGTCGCTAGTTGATAAATTTTCTGTAAGACATTTGTGTATACAATTTGATATTAATGTCGTTTTATCATTCTACAGGATCCTAGCTGAATGCAAAGATCTAAGGCTGCTGGACGTCAGTTTCTGTGATCAAATTCAAGAAGCTCAGGTAAGTTTGTCATTTTGTTTAAAATACGAAATTTTGCCTTACAGCTTAGTTAAATCAACTAATGCTGTTCAAATGTAAGAACAACTTCCTCATTTATTAACAATTGTTTTGCTTAGTTATCTGCAATCGATTCTGAATCAAGTTGTACATATATAATTAGAGAGATGACGACCAAAATTTTTGTCTCATAGCAATACGGCCAAAACCGCCTCAAATCGATAGATACGATTATCCTGAACTCGAAAATACCAATATCAGACATTTTCCGCGTAGCGTTTGATCTGACCACAAAAACAACAGACAAAAAAAAATGTCTCATAGCAATACGTCTGAAAACCTTTTTTATTAGTAAATTTTGTTTATTTGATGCGAACAAAACAATTTCAGACGGAAATGTGAACGCATTAAATATTGAGACCGTTTTGAAAATGTTAACAAATTTTACCGATCGGTATCATGGCAATATGTCTGAAAATTATTGGACATGATAAAATAAGTTGTCCACATGTGCAAAAAATGTATATCAGACAAAATAAGTGTAGCACCTTCTCTATCAGACAACTTTTCGATATTCAGATATTTTTGACACAGCGGAAATGGCCTCCCACGCAGTTGCTACACTTTCGACCGTTATTACACACCTAGTCGGGTTCAGAATCATACAATCTAACGATTTTATAGGGTTTTTGCCGTATTGCTATGAGACATGGTTTTGGTCGTCATCTCTCGTACCTACTAATATTATTTGGCACTTCAAAAGTAGAGACGAAATTTTCTAATAGAGTATATTACCTGCGCTAATAATATTTTCTTATATTCTAGGTAGTGGAATGGCGTGAGCAATACCCACACGTAAGCATAAAGCGTTCCTTCCAATCAGCCAACTTAAACACGGCACCGAACCCACTATTCTTAGCGCCTAGTTTAGAATAGATTTAGACTTACAAATTATAATAAAGGTTCATTCACATGCAAGCTATTTCATAAAATGTTAAAAAATGGTTACCGCCAAAAATTTGCCGCGGTGGTCTGTGGTTTTTATAAGCCCTAAGATTAATTTATTATGTTTAACAGCTTACTCATGTAACTGTTTGGGGAAATAACTTTTTTTTGAGTGGGGAATATTGTCCAATGACAGCTTTCTCAGCAGCACTATTGGGCCCGTGTACGCTCGGGTCTGGTCTGGTCTGCTTACGGTGGCTGGAGATCGTCTCGCGTGGTGAGATAACTGGAATAGTTTCATGCCATGTTAGCGGTTCATATTCACGAGCAGCATTGCGTGGCATACGACGCTGCAAACGTCTCGCAAGTAGTTATATACGTAAATTAATTTAATATGTCTCTCGTCTCACCAAACTTTTAATACCACCCTCAAAATATTATATGTCGAGTATAGAAGTTAATTAAAAATAAATGCCGCTTCATGTGAATGGACCTACCCGTAAAACTGACTTATAAAAGACATGTTTATACTGTGTTTTTTGTCTTTGTTTTTATGTTAGTATATAGACTGTTGATGATATATGAAATTGCTTTTATGTGTATGTCATAAAACTTATGTTTGTAGTCGTAATTATTTTGTTCGTAATATTTTTGTGTATTTGTAGACTTGCGTAATATGTATTGTATTGTGTTGTGTAGGATATTGATCTCTATTGGTAAAACGAAAGTCACTGAGCTTCATAACAATATCAAATTCGCGCATTTTATGCGTAAAAGATAATAAAATGTATTTACCTAACGATAATTACGATCTAATTGACTGTGAAATTTGTACACAACTTATCGCGTTTCTAAGCAGATAATGAATAGTAAGACAAATATTTCACAATATTTTTCGAAACTATATCTATTGTAACTGATATATTTTATCTATCTAACATCAAATTATCTGATACTCCGCCTTGATTCCGTAGAGTAAATATACCGATAATATCATAATTTATCACTAACGAACTATGAACTGACTAATATCTATTATTTTGGTTTGATACATTCTTACTACATAAAAAGACTGACTAAATTGTAAAAAAAAATAAATAAAAAAAAACAGCTAATATTGATGATGCATTTTTATAAGGACAATAGTAAGTCAAAAGTATGACTTTAAGATCTATATCTATCTATTTATTTAGTCCAAACACCTTTAAAGAATCACAATTTTAAAACATACAGAAGAAACACTATTATTTTAACTTTATAGAAACACTTGTCATAGTATCCCATAGGATACATTATACATATCTTGGGATGCTCATTATAGTTACAATTGTATTGCTGACTGCTAATAGAAAACTGCTGGACGCAAATCCTCCATTAACGTTGTTCACGGTACACGGTGACCCCCATTACGTTTAACGTGTTAATATAAAATGGTTCTTGCCTATAAAATATCAGCTGATAAGCATAATTGGTGTGGGGCTTAAAACTACATGATCCAGTGATCACACAATAGATAGCTTTCTGACATAGCAGCTATTATAACATAATATTATGTTTAAAGTAGAGTTTGTATATAATTTGTTAAAACGTGTTATCGAGAGGAACAAATCTTAAGTTGGTCCGTTACAAATAATGTATTGAGGACTTGTCAAGTATAATGTATGTGAGGATACATTGCATGGATTCTGATTGTGAGGTCAACATTTTTGTTTGTCTGGATAGACCGTTAAAATGTACAGTCAAAGGTTAAAGTCCACTGCCACCGTGAGTGATGTTCACACGGCAATGCGTAAGTAATTTCATATTATTGTGCATAAAAACGCGTGCGTACGCATAAAAATATGCGTGTGCATGTGCGTATAAGCGCTGCAGCGCAACTGATAGTAGTCTTGCGGTGGCAGTGGAGTTTTGACCTTTGATCGTACTTACAGGTCTGAATTTATTGGTCGGGCTGATACTGAGCACCCACTCCCGGCCTCCCACATGTTAACTTTTCTTAACATCAGAATATGAAATGAGAGTACTCTATGGCTTCGAAAATATTATTTATTTATTATGATTTACTCGAAGCTAATTAGGTATTAGTCACCTGATTGAAAGTATTTTGCGTCTAATTTGTATGCTTTTTAGTATGAGATAAGGCAAATTGAATCTTAAAGTTTATGTGCTAATGTAGTTAATACTTTATTAAAAGTATATTTATGTACCTAAGATATTATTTAGTGACTCATGCATACTTTAATATCGACAATCAGCAATTTCGATTTTGATCTTTAATACCTGAACTGAGAAACTAAAATACCTAATAATGACTAACATACTTTTTGTACGATGGTCTCGAATTTGTCTAATTTACGATTTTGTTTCTTATTGCATGAGTCTTAACAATAATTCTAAGAAGCAAAAAGTAGGTGTTACATTTCTTTCTACTCCTACGGAAGGGTAGGAGTACAAAGAAATATACGGATATGAAGGAGGCTTCAGGGATATAAAAGACCTATCAATTTGATTAATATAACAACGAAAAAAGACATTTTTAATAATAATTTAATATAATGCCCCGTCCACACGTTTGATGTTTGCTACAAATACAAAAAACCCAAACATCACTATATGTATTATATTGCCGAACAGCATTTAGTTTGTCTTTGTGTTCGTCACTGTTCGGCATCGGTGTCGAACAGTGGCGAAGGCAAACAAGAACAGGCTCACACGAACAAACACTCATCTAAATACTCGTCTTTGCTGTATACTATTGTTTTCCAAGCATGTGTAATTGTGTACCCGGCATTAAACCCTGAGTATTTGCATACATAGGTAGCTTTTATACTAAGTATTGCTTACCCTAGTTGTACGTACGTAAGTTCCATAACAACATATTTTGTCAATTTTGATATCAATTACGATAATAGCATTAACTTAAATAAATCTGTTTATAATTACATTATATATTATTATTAAGATTGCAAAGGATGTAGAAGATAATCTTAATTACTTTGCCGTGTATTCATTGATATCTTAACTTTTGCATTCTTTACGTAATTACATATTAATTGTTTCCTCAAAATATTTGTGTGTTTGAAAATTGATGGTAAACAGGATCTTGTTATTTAAAAGTAGATTATTTATACTTGAAACTGTTAGTGTGCTTAGTATTTTTATTCTTTAAAATTGTTAGTCTTATATGGTACAGTCGGCAGCAGGTCAATCACACTTTTCTGTCAAATTTCATTATTCGATTTTCAACTCTATCATTTAGACACAAAGTTGAAAATTCAATGGTAAAAAATACTCGATGGAGTAGGTTGAATTGGTCGTCACTGTACACGATGTTGTATGAAACTGCTACAATGAAACTAATTATTTGTAAACTAAATAGCACAGTATATACATACAAGATAAAGTAACACCTAATACTCAAACGCTATTCAATTTAAGTCGTGCTTAAGTATACTTCTGTCACTACAAATTCTTTGTAGAACGACAGAGATGGCACGATATCTAAGTACAAGTTAAAATTGAGTAGCCTTTTAGTATTTGGGAGTAAGGTCCTAATTTCCATCTAAAAGTATTATTACAATAATATAAAACCATTGTCTCTTACATCCTTCTTATATTTACTGCTATTTATATACCAGCCAGCAGATCAACCTAAATACCATTTGTGAAGATTGCATTTGCAACTTTATTAATTCAGTATAGAGTCTAAAATGTGTTTAAATTTTTGACGAATTGTCTTAGGTTGACAAACGATATTGCGATCTTAGCATAATACCTATATCAGAAATATTTTATAAATGTTTACATGAAACGAAATGATATTTAGATATTTTTGCATATTTCATATTTATAGTTGAGTAAGATTAATTGATATGTATATTTGTCTAAGATGACTGAAACTTGTACTAGTGTAGTATTCTATTCTTAGGGCTTAGTGCGAGTTTGAACACGCTCTGCGGTGTTATTAGGAGGTTCTAAAGTCAGAATGGTTCCATTGAGGGAAAGAAACAGAGCTATACAAGTCGTCTAGCGAGATCTCGTTCCCTCAACGGAACCACTCTGGCTTGAAGACGTCATAATACGCGACCTGATTGGCCTGCTCGAATGAGCTAACCAATCAGAGGCCTTAGTACGATATTCTTTTTCGTTAAAAGTAATCGTAACGAGTACGCGTTCCGCGTTGTGATTGGCCGGCTCCAATGAACCAACCAATCAGAGCGCTGGACGCCGTCTCGTTTCGATTAATTTTAACGATAAAGAAACTCGTACTAAGGCCTCAGAGCGTCGAACGCAGTTATGTTCCGATCTCGTTGAACGTAAACATAGTACTGAAGATTGAAGATTTTTCTCGAATGCAAGCAATAAACAATTTCAGTTTACTATCATGAAAATAAAGTAAACTTAGTAAGTACTTTATTTCATATGTAAGTTCAAAGACACTTTGATTTAAAAAAAACAAGTGTGAATTAATACGTATAGACAACGGCATTTCAAAGTGAATTCACCGTATTTTTTTACAAAATGCAAAAATGCCCAATTACCCCCTCAATCTTTGAATCTCCAACATTCCTCAAATTCCTACTGCTCAAAAGGCCGGCATCCAGGTGTCCATGGGCGACGCCGATTGCTTACCATCAGGTGATACGTCTGCTCATTTACCGGTTAATAAAAAAAAGGGGTTTTCTGAATTAAAATGTCTGAAATTGTTATAGTTTAGGTTTGATTTTCCGTTGTCTACACATTTTTTTAGTATCTGAATGAATATTTTTAGTGTTTTCTGATTAGCTTTAGATTATTACTATTTAAGTTATACTATTATTTAGCTTTCATTTAATGCCACAGTATGCGTCGAGATTCTCGCCCTATAATGTTTTATAAAGGGAATCGATGCTATGTCGCAAGTCCATAATTTCAGTCATAGTTTAAGATTGTAATAGATTTGATGGAATGTAATAATGCTATTTGTTTTCTTAATAAAACTGATGAATGTATGTACGTTAATTGTTTTATTTTATCGTTTCCACGTACCTAAAATACGCCAAGTAGTCAGCAATGTGATTTTTTCCTAGTTATATTATGTTCGTACGTATAAGTTTGTTTAGAAACCGCTGACACAGTGCCAGTGGATGAAATCATCGAATTAGACATCAAGTCTGAAATCGCGATACCGCCCGATGCACTTGTGCTTAAGAATATTTTGTGTTTTGTCTATGTCAGAAATTATATTTTTATAATAACTATCGTGAGACATACTAAATTAACTAAAAATCGCGGATTACTCACGTGAAAATACTGACAAAAGCTCTACTAGTTTCGAACCACAGCGGGGTTCTTCCTCAAGAGTAGCGTGCGCGGTCGCCTCGATGCTAGGCAGTACTAGGCTGCGCGATAACCCGCGATTTTTGGTAGATTTCATAAATTATATTATGGATAATGGCATTTTACATTAATCATCTTAAAATTAATACATAAGAAAGCAATTTTATAGCCTTCAAGATATATAAATCATAATAATTACATTATGTTAAAGAAGTATACACTTGAAAGGATAAGAGGGAAGTACCTACAGTAGCACTTTCCCCCAAGTGCTACTTGAATTAGTACTTACGTAAAGAATAGGTAGTGATAGTATTAATTCCTGTTGTCCTTGAACTAAAGAGGGTATTGTCTTGGCTTTAAAAAGATAGGATCTAAGTATAATTCTTATACTAGTCCTTTTACCTTGATCTGTGTATGGTATATTTTGCACAAAATGTTATTTCAGGTTAGCAATTGTAGGTATCAATGTTGAACCTGTTTTTCTAATACAGCTGGATATCGAGCGATTATTCTTTGAATTATCATTCGGCAATTATAAAATGAATCGAAATGTACAATCGAAGAAATCGCGGTGGATACCGAGCATGCCATATATTTAGTTTAAAAATTAGACCACTGTAAACTTTGCCGATACCTAAATACATATCCCAAATTACAAATACTTTCAAAAAAGATTGGTGTCATTGTACAATATCGAAGTTCAGATTGTTCGGGTGCCTAATAGGGTAGATACCTAATTTTTTATTTTAATGTCCGTCTGGTAGATATTTTAAATCCTTAGACACGTATTTTTTATTTTCTTACAGAAACGAATGCTTTCGACGAAATATTGATTTGAAATGCCGCGTGACGTCACTTTTATGTACATTTTATACGTAGAAATGACGTTTTAGCCTCACTTCTAAATTTTGATTCGTTTTATCCAAGTATTGTTTTATTATACGACAAAATAAAAAAATACGTGTCTAATATTTTTTCATTACCTAACTTACGGACTAATTATATTTTTAATTTTCATACCCTGTGATCAACCCGTACAATCGTATACGTTGCTTATTCGTCTGCCGACCGTGAAGCAATCCCTCTCAGATCTCTATACGAATTTTGTTTAGCAATGGACAAGTAAGTTGTAAGGAGATAACGTCAACACTGCATTGAAAGATGTTCGTAAACATTTACTGATTCTATAGGCTTGAAAAGCAAATATTATTATTATTGAATTCAAAACATATTACCTATTATGTAATTTGGAGTGAGGTCGGCGTCCTCAATCTCTCTATCAGACATACTGTGTGCACATGTGTATCATTTTCGTATATTTATAAAGGTTTCTTTTAGACTGCATCAATTGCATAATTCCAAACATTTTTGCTTAAAGAAGGTTTTATGTCTGGCACGAAACTAATAAATTTTATTCGTATCTACGTTGGTACATTATGCAATTTAATCGCCAC